TTAATTCCATATTCTATATTGAATTCAAATTTCACCATCTGCCATGACAGGATTTGAACCCGGGTCCCCAGAACATGAGCTGAGTTTCTGGATTAATAGTCTAGCGATAGTACCACTAGGCCCTTGCCTCCTCTTGCCCATTGCACTGCTTACAATTGTTCTATGTTTGTAGTGATTTCATTTGGAATTTTTTTGTCATGAGGTTATCAGGTGGCTAAGAGATTAATTGGGTGAATTTGTGTAAAATGCTTCTTCCCCTTTTGTCTAAACTGGATGAAAGAGAAAGGCTTTGTTTGCGTTGCACTCTGAGAGGAAATTGACATTTTTAGGCTGGAAATGGAAGTTTGCAGCCACCACATCTGATTGCATCATTTAACTAACAACTTTGCTGTAGTTAATCAACCCAGGCCCCTTTTAACCCAAGTTTTAGTGAAGTGTCTAGAATCTACCTTCCACCCTCTAGACCGAGCCCAAGCCAGATTACAGGCTCTTCTGGATTTCAGAAAGTAAGAACTGTAGCCTGTTCCGCACTAAAGTCAATGCAAAGGACATAACATGGAATAAAGTAATTCAGCCAGGTCAAGCAGGTCACATAGGATCACGAGGGAGGAGGCAGGAACAGCAACTCATATTCCGCTTGGGAACCCTGCAGCCCAATGGTATCAATGTGGATTTCACAAGTTTCAAAATCTCCCCTCCCCCTACCGCATCCCAAAACCAGTCCAGCTCGTCCCTGCCTCCCTAACCTGTTCTTCCTCCCACCTATCCCCTCCTCCCACCTCAAGCCGCACCTCCATCTCCTACCGACCAACCTCATCCCACCCCCTTGACCTGTCCGTCCTCCCTGGACTGACGTATCCCCTTCCTAACTCCCTACCTACACTCACCTTTACTGGCTCCATCCCCGCCTCTTCGACCTGTTTGTTTCCTCTCCACCTATCCTCTCCTCTATCCCTCTTCTATCCGCCTCCCACTCTCTCCCTATTTATTTCGGAACCCCCTTCCCCTCCCCCTTTTCTGATGAAGGGTCTAGGCCTGAAACGTCAGCCTTTCTGCTCCTGTGATGCTGCTTGGCCTGCTGTGTTCGTCCAGCCCTGCACCTTGTTGTCTCACATAGGATCACGGATTGGTGTCCAGAGCGCTGGAATTGGACTAGTGAATGAAATAAAAGCCAGCATGCTAATGAGAATCAGCACCTAAAAATGTTGTCTCAATTTGTTCAAGTACAGAAGTCCACATGAAAAGCAACGTTTTCAAAAATGTTAATTTTTTGCACAATGTTTTTCAGTTAGTTAGATTACTGATTTTAAAAATCTGTCTATCTCAGCCCTGAATACATTCAATGACCCAGCCTCGGTGGTAAAAAATTCCACATAAAATCCTCTGAAAGAAGTGTTTTTAACAGCAAAGTAAAAACAATCTATTTGTACAGGAAGCTGAAATGAAGACCATAAAAAGTTTTGTATCACCTCAGCAGTATGCATCAAATTGAGTCTAAACACCACCCATCTGTTAGCAAGTTTTCCCAAATTATCAGATATTATGATACTGAAACCAATGAGATTACACTTGAGTTCTGTTGCTGGTCATGATCTCCCAGACTAATTAAGGTAGCTGGACGTGTTTCTAGATTTGGTATGCAGGATATGATTAACATTGTGTGAAAAGGAATTTCAATTATCTCATTTCGTTTCTTGGAAATATAAAAATAGTTTGATTTAATGGAGGTCCCTACTGCTCTTGTAGCATTGTCAAATCCCTCAATGTTGTATTCAGCGGTTCACTTTTTTTAGTTGCTATACCTCTCAATTTATAAATATCATAGATTTAAGAGAATCCCTACAGTGTGGAAACAGGCCATTCAGCCCAACAGGTCCACATCGCCCCTCCAAAGAGCATCTCACCCTGACTCATTCCCCTACCCCTGCATTTCCCCATGTCTAACCCACCTAGCCTAAACATCCCTGGGCACTATGGGCAATTTAGCATGGCCAATCCACCTACCCTGCACATCTTTGGACTGTGGGAGGAAACCGGAGCACCCGGAGGAAGCTCACACAGACATGAGGAGAATGTGCAAACTTCAGACAGACAGTCGCCTGAGGGTGGAATTGAATTGATCCTCGGTCCCTGGCACTGTGAGGCAGCAGTGCTAACCACTTAGCTACCATGCCGGCAGGTTCAAATAATTGAGTGATGTGTAATGTGCTGATCATTTTTCTGAGAAGTTGGAGGATTCACTGATTATGATAGAAAATAGATTTTAGTGTTGTGGATAGACACTGGGCAACTTTTAAGTTTAAATAGTGGCTGTTTGCCCAATTACTAATCACAACAGTATTAAGCTGCACATGTTATCCTGTTAACAAGCTAAATGTTTTACTCAGCTCATAATAACATAAAATGTGGAATTATAGCTTGTGTATACATAGTAACTGAGCACAGCTTTTGGTGCAGAATCTGTTGGTACATCTTCTCAACAGAAAATACAATCCTGGTCAATAGTTTGTACTTCATAAGGAGTGTTCTAATAATTCTATTAAAAGTTATATTTTATAAAGAACCTGTTGTGGATGTTGTGTGTTAGAACTCTTTCTTTGAGTCCCAATGCAGTTGATTGAGACCCGGCCTGATGTTTGCTTGTATTTTGCAGTTGGGATCTAACCAAGCTCTCCTAGGATAGCATTAGCAACACATTGAAGTTTCATTAGCCTTCCTGGGTGTGAAATTAATCTTCAGCAGTAACGCGAACCAGGCTAGCAGATTGACAGCTGAGTTTTTAAACATTTTCTTTTCCATTGAATTTTAACAGGGTGCCAATATTCTGTTGCTCATTTTGTGCAACAATCCAAAATTAATTTCAACACTGACTGTACGACTACAGCTAGGAAATTATGCTCCAAAATTCATCTAGTTGGACGGTCTACCTATTGTTTCAGGAAACTCTCCTGGATGCTCTTCACAAATTCTGCCCCATCCAAGCCATGGCACTAAAGGAGGTGATCCTTCTCTCATAGATTCATATATGTCAACAACACAGAAGGAGTCCATTCAGCTCATTATGTCTGCACCAGTCTACAAATTCCATTTTCCAGCTTTTGCCAGTACACGTGGAAGCTCTATAGCAATACAAGTGAATATATAAATCCTGCTTTACGTTATTGTGGTTTCTGATTCGGACATTAAGTTCCAGACACCCACCACCCTCAGTGATCAAATTCGTGTGACGCATGCTGCTCTTCGCCTTCTGCCTCTTTCTTTACATCTATGTTCCCTGGTTATTGACCCTACCACGAATGGGCTAAATGCACATCTGTCCATGCTATCTATATCCTTCATATTCAGCTCTATCAGGTCCCTTCTCAACCTTCGCTGCTCCAAGGAAGACCGCCCCTGTTGCTTCCTCATAGGTCAGACCCTCACTCCCATGCAGCATCCTGGTAAATCTCCTCTGCACCCTCAGTAGGGCAATCATATCCTTCCTGTAATGTGGTGACCAGACTACATGCAGTACTCCAGTTGTGGCCTAATCAGTGTTTTATATAGTTCCAGCATATCCTCTTCGCTCTTGTATTCTGTGCCTTGACTAATAAAGGCAAGTATCTCATTCTTTCTTAATCACTTTATTTGCCATCAGGGTTCTGTGAATATATGCACCAGTGGCCCTCAGTTTTTCGGTACTTTCCAGGGTCCTACTATTTATTGTGTAACCCTAACCTTCTTGGGCCTCTCCAAGTTCATTCTCTGTCACGTTTATGGACTGAATTCCAATTGTCACTGCCCAGCCCAGCTAATCAGTCTGTTGATTTCCTCCTGCCGTTTATGGCTATCCTCCTCACTATTTACAACTCTACTGATGTGTTTTTTTTTTGTCAGCTGCAACCTTCTTGATCGCATCTGCTATGTTTACACCCAAGTTATTAATGTGCGCCACAAACAGAAGGGCCCCTACCACAGGACCTGCAGAACGTCACTAGAAACAGACAGGGAAAGACAAGGTAGATAAGATGAAATATTTCCATTAGTTGAAGCTTCTAGAACCAGGGGACTTGGTCTAAGAATTAGTGCCAGGCCATACAGCAGAGATGTGAGAAAGACTTCTCCACGCAAAGAATGGTCTGTGCTAATTCAATTGTTAGATTTAAATCTGAGGCAACTTTTTATTAAGCAAGGGTATCAAGGGATATGAGCCTAAGGCATATGGAGTTAAACACAGATCAGCCACGATTTTATTGAATAGTGGAGCAGGCTCAAGGGTCTGAATTGCCTACTCCCTGTTACTATGAGTGCAACATAGTGAAGAGGGAGCAGTGACAGAAAATGAATTTTTGGGGCTGAAAATAGAATGAATAAATTGAACTAAAATAACATGCTATCAGCTGCATGGTGTGATAAATGTGTTCACAAAAAAAAAGCATGGCTCTCTTTCCACAAACCCATTGACCCTAGTGCTAGTAATGGCTCTAATCCTATTTAAGACTCCATTTCTATTCAGTGAAGTCATGCAGGGCAAGAAATAGAATGGTGCAAGGCTTAGAATGGACATTGCAGGAAATCCTGACTAGGCAAGATTGTGAATCTTTAACATTCCAAGTGCAATGACTAAAGGGTGTCTGCTATGTGTTGATGTGTTGACTCAAAATCAGTTTGGTGCTGCTTCTGATGTATTTAGAAATGTGTAGGATGAAGAAAGATATTATGGATTTGCCAATCTTGAAATTTTGAAAAAATATACTACTTTATTCCTCATACACTTGAGCTTTGTTCTCAATGTACTTGATTTTACATCCATTCTCACTTTACTGCCAGTGGATTTAGTGTCTGTTTATTGGCAACTGGTAGTAACATAGTGAGGTTTTTTAACCCAACAAGTGAAAACTCCATGCGTATGTAAACATTATTGCTGGGTTTTAATGAAACAGATTTCCACTAGAATATCCCAAATTTCAGGTTTCAGTGGTAATAGTGTTCTGCAATATTCTGTAACCTCAATTAATCATATTTGTTTTCCCCTAGGAATGTTAACTATAACGGACTTCATTAACATACTGCACAGATACTACAAATCACCCATGGTAAGTGCTTTCAGTTGTCAACATTAAAATTTTGGCAAACGAAGCAAATAAGTTTTTGTTTTGAAAAAGAAACTGGTTTAGCTGAAATAAATTTGCATACTTTAATCAGTATTCACCATTCAATAATATTTGTGGAGAAAACACAAATGTGTTAGATTCAAAACATTCAACCTCAGCATCAACAACCACTTGAATAACTTTAATTTATCTAGTATGTTTGTGATAAATGCCCCAAGGTACTTCATAGGTGTATATGAAGTCAAAAAACAAATACCACATTGCTGTTGTTTCATGGTTTTCAAGGTGGGCTGAAAACAATTCATTTGTGCCTTTTAAGGAAAGAAGACTTTCCAAAATCCTGCTGTATGTCAGATTGTATTTGAACTTAAATCTTGCCTTTTTTCTTCTCGTTAGTAACAGGCCTCTGTTGTCTCCCACAATTGGGAAGGCCAAATCTATCACCATTTCTCAACATATTCGTCTGTATCAGGGCTAGAGGTACAAGGAACTGCAGATGCTGGAGAATCTGAGATAACAAGGTGTAGAGCTGGATGAACACAGCAGGCCAAGCAGCATCAGAGGAGCAGGAAGGCTGACGTTTCGGGCCTAGACCCTTCTTCAGAAAAATAGACCCTTCTCTAGCCCCTTCAGGGCTGTCTAGGTATCAGCTGTAAGGCTAAGTTAAAATTAGTTTAGCAGAGGTTGAAAAAGGGACAGTGTAGACTGCCTTGAAGATAATGTGTACCTTAATTGATTAGTAGATCAAAGAAAAGTTGACTGCATTTAAATAAGATAATTTAAAAATAAGAAGTTGTGAGAACACATGTATACTGAATCAAGATTATTAAAACTAAAGTGTAAATATACCTGATTATTTGACCAAACTTAAGAAACATTATCCAAGGCACAGCAATCTGCTGGATCAGCATCCTTCTGACCCCTATCCCTCATTAAACATTCTTGTACCATCTACACATTGTACTGCAGTAGTTCAGCAAGGCTACTTCCCACACCGGACTTTTCCACCATCTCAAAGGCAGCAGGTATATGGAAGCGAGACCACTGCAGGTTCCCCTCCAAGCTCTGTACTGTCCTGACTTGGGACTATGGTGCCATTCCTACGTTCTTGCTTGGTAAGAGTCTTGGAACTGCCCATGCCCACCCCAAAAAAAAACAGCATTATGAACATGCCAGCAATGTTCTGACTTTTGCTGGTCCTCTGTCATGATGCATGCATTTGTAATACTGAAAGCCACAAGATGAATTTCATGTAGTATCCTGGTCCCTGGTCTCTCAACGGATCAAGTACCAATTGTGTTTTGACAGTTTGTGCTATGCAAAAACAATTAGAATTCTGTGACCAGGCTGCGGAAATCCTCATTAAGAGTAGACTTTCACCCTGCAAACATTTGAAGTCCTTCTCTTTTAAATTTTTAAAGATCAGAGCTGTCTGCCTCATTGCTCGTTGTTCTGCTGTAATTTTCTCCAGCTTGTGATGTTGCACCATTCATTATATTTATAAGCAAAAGAATAGGTACAGGCGATCAGGCAATGTGCAGAAATAACAGCATGAGACTCAAAGTAAATAACTAAATCAGAAGCACAGAAAAGTGAGATACAGGCAAAAAGTAGATACAGTTAATAAGAGTACAATAGGTGATTTTACTCCCTATGGCAGTCTTTCTAAAAACCTTAAATTTGTGCATTTTTTTTTATGTATTTCGTCTTGTTTCTCCATTCTTTACTTCTCTGCTATAATCTCTCATGCTCTAGTTCTTTCTCTCTTTCTCATTTGCTTTTTATCCCTATTTCTTTCTCTTGATTTTTATCTCAGAATACAGTAGGCAGCTTGGCCTCCATTTGCACTATCATATGCATTTCTTTGAAAAAGGTATCCAATGAGTGTTGTTTTCTATCTCTCACTCTATTTCTTGTGCAATCTCGCTCTGTCTTGTGTACAGTTTTTATACTTATTATTTATGTATTGTATAACACTTTCCAGCTTCCTTTTTTTTCCACCCCATTTGGGTTGAGTTGGAATAAGGCTATGGAGGCAAGTCATCAAGCATATTTAAGACAAAGATAGATTCTTGGTTATTATTGGGCTCAAGGGTTCCAGGGAGAAGGCAGGAGAATGGGGTTGAGAAACATATCAACCATGATTGAATGGTGGAGCAGACTCGATGGGCTGAATGACCGAATTCTGTTCCTGCATCTTATGGTCTTATGGATAGGTTGGTTTGTATTCCCTAGAATAGAGGAGGCTGAAGGTGAATCTGATTGAAGTATACAAATTGTGAGGCATAGACAGGGTAGATGGTGAGAATCTTTCCCCATGGCAGGTATGCCTAAGACCAAAGGGCATAAGTTTAAGGTGAGGAGTAATTAGTTTAGTCGGGATCTGAGAAAAATTTCTTTCATCCAGTGGGTGGTACAAATATGGAACGTGCTGCCTGGAAAGGTAGTGGAGAAAGGTACTCCTGCAACATTTAAGAAGCATCTGGACAAGCACTTATTATGCCAGGGCACAGTAGGCTATGGACCAGTGCAGGTAGTAAGAATTAGTATAGTTGGTGTTTGTTGTTCGGCATAGACATGGTGAGCCAAAGGGCCTATTTCTCTGTTCTATGACACACTATGACTGTGGGAGCTGTTCTCTTCACTTTAGATTATGCAAACTAACAGGAAAAGTTCACTTTTACCCTGAGAGAGTTTTCTAAATATTCTGATTTATTCTCTGGCATACCGTTCAAATAGGAGAAATGAATACAGTTGACTAAAATTTGGGGTTGTCTAAATAATAGGTTGTGTTTTTTTCCATTTTAGGTACAAATCTATGAGCTGGAAGAGCACAAGATTGAATCATGGAGAGGTAGGAACAATACATTCGTTCATTTTTGACCTCTCAATCTATCTGATACTTCACTAAAGGGGCCATAATGAATTTGTGAGCAGAGATAGTAATTCTGGATGGGCATTCAACTGTTTTTTTTCTAAAATATTGACTTATGTTGAATATTTTCTGAGCTGATGATAGATGTGCACTTTTCACAAGGAGTTTGATTGACTAGCCTTTGGAGAACACAGTTAAAATTACTTAGAGACCGATTTTCTTCTTCTTTCTTTCTTTTCCCCCTCACAATCCCAAGTGTCACACAAATTCATTCCGATGCTTTGGCAAAGAGTCCAGAATGTACATGACCACTAAGTTAGCTCATCTAATGCACTTTAAACAGAAACGTAAGCTTGTAAACCACAGCTTAAAACAAAATTAAACAACTCTTCCATTTGGTTACTTAATAATAGTTGCAAAGGAATGTAGTTTTACCTTAGAACAATGCTCCCCAAACTTTCTTCCACCATGACCCCATTTGCAGGATTGAAAGTTATTGGACCACAGGTCAGAGCTCTATGGAGGGGGCTCAGGTCATGCGCAGATGCTGATGTTAGATAATGCTCAATCAATTATTTGTGCTCGCACTGTCTCATTAACTTACACTCTTGCTTACTCTGTCACAACACACTCACATTCTGTCACACATACTGCTGACCATTGCAAGTTTAAGTGTTCTGGCCATCAGATTTTGTCAGCTGACCCAGCTGGGCATCATGACCCGTAGCTAGAAAGCCCTGGTTTGGAAGAAAAGCATATTCTGTATTAAGTGATATCCCTCATAACACCACCATTGGGTTGCTAAGACTTGTGTTCAGGCATTTGCCTCTAGCCTTTCTGTTTCCTGAGTAGTTCCTCCTTTTAAACTATCCTCTTCCCTATTTAAAAAACTGACAGAAATTATACATTTGTTTCATCAAATGATCCCCGATGTATAGCAGTTTCAGTACAGATTGTTTTAGATTTCATGTTTCAGTGCCCCTGAAAGTCCAAAAATAATCAAGTTCCTACAATAAGCACTGGGAAAAGCTTAACAAATGAAAACCGTACCAGCTGCTTTTTGTTTCGGTCCAAAATCTTTGCCTTTGCCAATCACCTTATAATTGTACTAAAATGAATGGTTATCGACTATCCTATTGTTCTCAGGATAACACACAAGATATCCAAGTAATGAATTAAAAATTATACATCAACATTGATGTGAAAACAAACTTAATGTACTGACATTTCTAATCTCCAGTGTGAGATTGACCTGCAGATTACAATCTTAAACATTTCATGGCTAAACAGCAAGAAGTCCTGAATGATTCTTATCTTTTTGGCTAAACAGAAATTGTGTCCTTGAAGCTTATCCAGCTGCACATTGGCAGAACAAAACCTTGTGCATCATATGCCACAGCACCTTTGGCCTTATAAAAATGCTGCCCTTAGGTTTGTCAAGAGAATCACCACGGGTGATGCAGCTTTCCTTTCAGTTCGCTTCCTGTTCTATTTTTCTTGAAGCTGTGGGTGTGCAGTTCTACAGGTCTATTCAAGTGTATTTTTTTCCACTTTATGTAGCTGCACAGTCAGTGTTGACAGTTTAACTCCTTCAGCTCCTTTTACGCTTGCCTCATTTCAAAACTGTTGGTCATCTGTCCTAATATCTTATGCTGTTGTGAAGGGTCTTGCAGCATCTCACTGCACTAAAGGGCCTGTGTGAAAGGGAGGTGAATTTTAGCAACTTAGGACAGCATCATAGCAGGTTTCATTGAGTAATAACCAGAAGCTAATTTTTTCTTCTAGCACTCTGCCCAAAGAAAGGCATTGAGACCAATTTATAGTACTTCACCTAGCCCAGCTGAGATTGTGAAACTCTATCCAGTTTGACCTTGTCTGAGAGGATCTCCCATACCATATGGTTTAGTTAGTCACTAAACCATATGGAGAACAGTCAATAAAATGTATGTTATCCACATGCTCCCTTGAAAGTGCTTTATTTCCTTCATATTTTTAAGAAGTCTGCTAACCTGATTTGTTCCTAGCCAACAGCTGGGCATCTGAAAGCTGACTAGCATCTCAACTTTAGAGGTCTGGATCTGATCCATGCCTATGCTCCGGAGCTAGTTCAGTCTCCAGGATTTGAAGAATACTGATCGCTTAATGGAATTTCTGGCTGCCTCTGGAACCCCACCTCTTCCCACCATAGGTGGGGGATATTGCCACTGCAGGCCTCAACTCGGGTGTAGCTGAAGTGAAGGGGATGAGGGAGGATAATCATTCATGGGTTGATCGGTCATGATTTTTTTGAGGCTTTTACATTTTTCATTTTACATAGTCCATGCTTCCTCCTAGCATAGCAGAACTATACGTTGGAGCCATGTGACATCTTCGCATTCATAATTGCAATGACACTTTGAGACCAGGAAGTACTTTAACAACTCTTTTCCATCCTCTGCATCTCACTTGGTTTCACGTACAGCAGATCTTCTCCAGGGAGAAGTATTGGCTAAGTGACAGGGAGCCAGTCGAACAGGTCTCCCTACCAAGTGGAGACACTGGGCCTGATTTGGAGATGATAACTGCCCCTGGCCTCCCATATAATGCTCGCAATGTTTTTTTGGCCATCATTCCTTCAGTGTGGTATCTTTTCTGCGATATGTTTTTAGATCGAAATCATCAATATTCAGCTGCCAAATACCATGGGTAAGAATCAGACTCCCGCCGCCTATGGCAAGGCCTAAACAACACTATGGGATACAAAATGAAGCAGAGCAAGATAGCAGGCGAAGGTACATCTCCCCTTAATGCTTTCAATGCTTTCTATGCTCACTTTGAGCAGAATGCCAGTGGCGTGGCGATGCCTGCCCTGATAGCCCCAGACACACCTGCTCCCTCTGTCACTGCTGCAGATGTCAGCTTGGTCTTCCTGGGAGTCAACCCAAGGAGAACGACGGGCCCCAGTCAATGTTCCCAGCCGAGCACTCAGATCCTGTGCAGACCAACTGGTGGAGGTATTCACCACCATATTCAACCTCTCCCTCCTCCAAGCCGAAGCCCCCGCCTGCTTCAAGAACACCACTATCAACCCTGTACCTAGGAAAGCGCATCCAATGTGCTTTAACTACTGCCCAGTGGCTCAGACTTCAATAATCATGAAGTGCCTAGAGAGGCTGGTCATGACCCACATCAACTCTAGTCTTCCAACATGCCTCGGTCCCCTACAACTTGCTTACCAATGTGACAGCTCCACAGCAGGTGCCATTTCCCCAGCCCTGCACTCATCCCTAGAACATCTGGACAACAAGGACACCTATGTCAGGCTACTGCTGTTGACTTCAGCTCTGCCTTCATCACCATTATCCCCGCCAGACTGATCTCAAAACTGCATGACCTTGGTCTCAGCTGTGCCCTCTGCAACTAGATCTTCAGCTTTCTGACCCAGAGACCGTAATCAGTGAGGCACCTCCTCCACAATAACACTCAACACTGGAGACCCCCGCAAGAATGCATCCTCAGCCCCCTACTGTACTCCCTGCACACGCACGACTGTGTTGCCAAATTCTGACTGAGCACCATCTACAAGTTCGCTGACCACACCACCAAAATAGGACGGATATCTAACAACAACGAGTCAAAATACAGAAGGGAGATAGAGGGCTTGGTGATGTAGTGCAATGATAACAACCTCTCTCTCAACATCGGCAAAACTAAAGAACTGATCATTGACTTCAGAAAGAAAGGAGGAGAACACGCCCTCATCTACATCAGCAGAGCTGAGGTTTAAGAGAGTGGACAGCGTCAAGTTCCTCAGAGTGGCGATAACTGACGACCTGTCCTAGACTTCGCACGTAAATACGACAGTCAAGAAGGCACTACAACGCCTCTTCTTCCTCAGGCAGCTCAGGAAATTTGGCACATCCATAAAGTCCCTCACTAACTTCTACAGATGCACCATTGAAAGCATACTGTCTGGGGGTATAGCAGCCTGGTATGGCAACTGCTCTGCCCAGGACTGTAAGAAACTACAGAAGGTGGTCTGCACAGCCAAGACCATCACGGAAGCCAAGCTTCCATCCGTGGACTCTATGTACAAGGCTTGCTGCTGCGGAAAGGCAGCCAACATCATCAAAGACCCATCGCACCCTGGTAATGACCTCCTACAACCTCTTCCATCAGGCAGAAGATGCAGATGCCTGAACACAAGCCCAAGCAGGTTCAGGAGCAGCTTCTTCCTAGCCATTGTTAAACTGATGAATGGACTTTCTGGCCTCAAATAATGCTGATCTTGCTAACGTTGATCTCTCCTAGCGCATGCCCAATGCAGTGTAACCTGTATGCCTCGAAGTCTTTTTGATCTGTACTTCCTTGCTTACTATGATCTGCCTGTACACAAAGCTTTTCACTGTATTTCAGTACATGTGACAAATCAATCAATCAATCAATCAATCACACTGCTACCTTTTGACGAGAGCGATGCATGAATGCCATGTCTTCAGTTCTTTGCTTGTTCTGGAACATTTTGTACTGATACTAATTTGAGAGATTTATGATGTACAAGAAAATTGTTGTCCTTGATTGCTTTGGAGACCTTATTAGTACAGTGCTGGAGAAAAGCATTTGTATCCACTGATTAACAGGTGACTCAGTTTTTTTGCAAAAAAAATGTTGGCTAGCTTGAATGTTTTGATTTGAGTTTGACTTCTAAAGTGCGCCATCTAATGAGCCATTATAGCAAAGAAATCAATTTGAGCTTTTCTATTCATTTTTAATGATCATACAGTATTGTATGAAGTGAATGCAAATTTTGTTTTCCTTGATGCATATAGCCGGACTTGGGTTAATTATTTTGGTCACTTCGTTTGCTGAGACATAAAGCATTTCTCTCCTACTTTGTACCTTTTTCTTCCTCCCATTCCCTAAATGTACAATGTTAGTGTGAAGTCGCTGAGGCCTGTTGCCTAACACTTTCTAACACAATTTAGTCTTAGGCTCCGTAAGTCCTCCTTAACTTGGGGGCTAGTTCTAAAATTAGGAGAGCTGTCTCAGAGGAATCAAGTAACAACCAGACATAGTTATACTTATGGAATCATATCTGACAGACAATGTCGCAGGTGCCACCATCACCAGCCCGGGATATGTGTCCAATCAGCAGGACAAACCCAGCATAGGTGGAGTCACAGTGATGGGCAGTTGAGGGAGTTATCTTCAGAGTCCTTAAATGGACTCCAGCCTCTCTGAAGCCTCATGGCTTCCGCTTAAGCATGGGCAAGGAAACCTCCTGCTGCTAACCACATACTGTCCTCCCTCGGTAGACGAATTCCACCTTCTCTATATTGAACAACAGTTGAAGGAAGCACTGAAAGTAATTAGGGTGCAGAATGTACTCTGAATGGGGTATTTTAATGTCCACCACACAGAGTGGCTCAGCAGCAGCACTGCTGATTGAGTTGATCGAGTCCTAAAGGACATAGCTGCTAGACTGGGTCTGTGGCAGGTGGTGAGGGAACCAACAAGAGGAAAGCCCATATCTGACCTCATCCTTGTCAATCTGCCAGCTGGTGATGCATCTGTCCATGACAGTATTGGTGAGAGTGACCACTGCACACAGTCCCTGTGCAGACAAAGTCCCGCCTTCACATCGAGAACAACCTCCATCATGATGTGTGGCACTGTCACCATGCTAAATGGGACAGACTTCGAACAGATCTAGCAATCCCAGACTGGACATTCATGAGGCATTGTGGGCCATCAACAGCAGCAGAGTTGTACCCTAGCACAATCAGTGACCCCATGGCCCGGCATATCACCCACTCAATCGTTATCATCAAGCCAGGGGATTAACCCTGGTTAAATGGAGAGTGCAGGATGGTATGCCAGGAACAGCACCAGGCGTACCTGAAGATGAGATAGTGGGAACTGCCGATGCTGGAGAATCTGAGATAACAAAGTGTAGAGCTGGATGAACACAGCAGGCCAAGCAGCA